ACACTGGTTTGGAAATAGAGTAGTGGATGGTGCCAGTAAAGTGACTTCGATAGTTGAATGTCCGTGGTTAAAAAAAGAAAATTCAAAAAAAGACAATGAAACGAACATTGAAAAAGCTTTCCATGAAAAGGTTGAGGAGGAGGTGAGGTGGCGACGATGAAGTGTGTGGCTGTGCTCGGTACAATTAGTTTTATTCAATATAGTCGGAATGAGCATAAAAAAAGTTAACTTAGTACAAATTGTACCAGATATCGTACCAAAAACCGGTTTTCATTTTAATGTTGCAAAATTGCAGTCTCAGATTTCATACTTCTGACGTCACAACCTTAAACCCATTAGCTTTCAATTTCACGTCATTGTGGCCCTGGAAAAGTAGTTATCAGTGTACATTAGACGTCGGTGGGAAGGAGTTTGTTCACGATGGTGTCATGGCCTCGATTTCCCATGGTCATATAGTTTTCAGCGCGCACACAATAACTGCAATTACAATTATTTATTCCTGTTAGAAAATAATATTAATACTGATTACAGGGAATGGGTTAGGTTATTGCTGGCGTTTGGGTCTACTCTACCCAGTAGCCACATGGTAAGCCACTTTACAAGGCGGTAAATTACATAAAAAATAAACTTTTATGGTTAAAAAAATCACATATTATGATTATAGAATATTACATGAGTACACATTAACATATCTGTACAGTAGACGGCTATAGTGTAGAAGATATTAGTAAATGCAGTAACTTACCCAAGAACTCTTACACAAAGAATATATTAACGTCGTCAAAACAGTTATACACCAGCCTCACGTAACACGGTAAGGGTGTCAGTCTTGTGTAACGCTGCTGTTGCTAGTGTTACTGCTGCTAGTGTTAGTGTTGCTAGTGTTACTGTTGCTAGTTTTACTGTTGTTGGTGTTACTGTTGCTAGTGTTACTGTTGCTCGTGTTACTGTTGTTGGTGTTACTGTTGCTAGTGTTACTGTTGCTAGTTTTACTGTTGTTAGTTTTACTGTTATTAGTGTCACTGTTGGTGTTGCTGGTGTTACTGCTGCTGGTGTTACTGTTGTTGTTATTGTTGTTGCTGGTGTAACTATTATTTTTGTTATTGGTATTCCTGTTTTGGTTGTTGCTGGCGGTACTGTTGCTGGTGTTACTTTATTATTGTTATTGTTGTTGCTGGTGTTACTGTTATTGTTACTGTTGTTGCTGGTGTTACTTGGCATTGGTGTTGTTGCTGGTGACGTAATCTCCCTGTACAACATATCTGCAATATATCTTTTGTGTGTCACCGGGGACGCGAGGCGCAGTGGTGCATGTTAGACCTGGCTGGGTGGTGAAAGGTTCTCGTTCGTGGTGGTGGTTAGGGTGTACCGTATCTCTGTCCCATTGAGTATATGGTCACCTGAGCCGGGGATGAAGTACTGAATGTGCTGCCGAGGGTGTGATGGGCCTTCTAATGTGCTAAGTACTGGGAGAAAGTTTTAATGTTGTACTGAAAGAAAATTACGTCCCTTCCCTACCCCCCCCCCCCACAACACAGTTTATATAACATAGTGTTAAGGTGAGTCTTATAACATAAATGAAACCGAGATATACAGTATAGATGTTAGTCGTCATGTATAAGTATTAATACAACATTCCTTGATCATGTATATCATGTATTTTAAATTGTGTTTTTTGTATAAGTAAGGTGTTATATTATTATGTATTCGTTCATCAGAATATATACGAACAACACTAAAGGTCATCTTTCTGTGAGTGACTGCTAACTAACATTGATGTTTTTGTGTTGCTGGCCAGGAACGAGGAACTAGTAGCCTCCGTCACCTCCTGTAAACAAGTTTTTGTCGTAATAGATGTTACCAGTGTGAGGGACGGGTGATGTCTATCTATTGGGCTCTACTGATGGAATTCTGGTTGTAACATGGGCGGTGGCTCAGTCATGGTAGTTACAGCCATCAGTACGTCTCCCGGTGTTGTGTGTTTGTGTGTGTGTGTGTGTGTCTTTGGATGGGAGACGTGTCTACTGTTTTTACCTCTGTGTTTATGCTGAGGGGAGTGTGCTGGTTTAGGATGTTAACATATTTTTCCCATGCATTTTGTTTAAGTTCATTCACACAATTTCCGGACTACAGCGAGGGAAGCTTGAAGCAGTTTGAGTATTTGAGGTGTTTGTAACCCTCACCAGTCTACAAACACGTGCCTAATGTGGTAAAGGAAACGTTTAGATTATTCATGTTTTCTGGTTGTGGGAAAATGAAGCCATCACAGTATATATTACCTGATGGAGGTCGTCGTGTTACAATATAATAGATGTACAGTACCTGAAAAAATTATGTAGTACCACGGAAATCATAACACTGAAATCCCACTGTAGGAGAAGATAAACCACAGAGAAACAACACCAGTGTACAGTATATGTCGACCTGAACATACTGTACAGTGCACATTGTGAAGGTGCTTGGTGTCTAGACGTGTCATGAAAGTGTCTTTATCATTGTGTTTGTATATACCTACAACATTTTCTTTACGAGCACAAAGTGTCATTGACGATCTTTTTTGGTGTTCAAAGTTGACCTGATGTTGTTTTGGAATCCTGTGTATGTAAAGATGCCAATATATAGTGTGTCTGAGGGACCTAACGTGACGAGTATCATGCAAACTGTGAACCTCTAAGGTGATCCTAACAAACTGCATAATCATTTACCTGGTCACCTGGTTTAGTTTTTGCTGTAGGGCGGCTGGTTTATTGTACACCCAGTGTCCATCCTGTGGACGGTAGCACAAAATAATACAAGTCTGAAAAAAGTCCAGGATCCAGACCTCAGGGATAGAGACCTATACAATAGTTATACAGTACAGTGTGAGTTATGGACAGGATGCTACATAGGGATATTTTCTCATTATCATAGGTAATATATCTTTAGCAGTAGACTAGGGAGAAAAGCTTAAGACAGTATTATGTTGACTCTTCTGGAATTCTTCAGTTCTGGTTAGTCGATTAATTAACGTTCAAGGCGGTGATCTTTTTTTTTTTTTTTTTTATCGGGCACTCCCCTGCATCCTTGTGTAAGGTGAAGCGCAGAAGCGTTTACAGTGCCCAACAGGGAAGCATGCTAAGTTCATGCTTGCCTTTATGTCTCATGAGTTAAGGGCGTAGAAGCCTGAAGAGTCAAGGGCATAAGCCTGAAGAGTCAATGGTTTTTATGTCATCAAGTTATTGGAAGCTCCAACAACTTGTCCCTGAATACGAATTCGCAACTTTCGATTTACACCAGGTACCTACTTTACTGCTAGGTGAACAGGGACTAATGGGGGCTAGGAAGTATGTCCAAACAACTTCCACCGGCCCGGGAATCGAACCCGTGACATCTCGCTTGCGAAGGCAAGAGCGGTACCACTCTACCACCAGCACCCCCAAGGCGGTGATCATAATCTTGTCCACAGACTTTACTTTTCTTGTGATGTGTTTTTGTACACACTGAACTGCCGCCTGTTATAGACAAGACACAGCCTGGCTGGTACTGTACGACCTGTTAGTCTCTCAGTGTTTGGTGGTTCATGTACTGTATGTGTTTCTCCTGATACATTATATCGTGGCTGTATACGTCACTTGTGTTTGTCTTACAATATTGAGGTTTTTAGTCTTGTTCTTATTGTTTACATTTTACTGCCCTTAAGAATTTTGTTGGAGTGGTCAAAATCACTCTTAAGAGCCACAGAGTTGAGCCAGTTCATGTACCCACAGAGATTGTAATCATAGTAACTGATGCTTGATTCCCTTACACAGATACACCTGCGTCTGGCCTCACACACACCTGTATACTGCATGACATTGGGAGGAATTGAGTGACGTGAGGGGTTAGAGGGAGTCAGTCATTGTGTTTGTACCAGAGACTTAACACTGTGAGGATAACAACAAGTTCAGTTTGTAAGAGATGACCAGTTGTTTATGTTGACACACACTACACGGTACTGGTTGTTCTCCCACTTGAGGGATGCCATGTGCTTCACTGATATGGATGTGTTCAAGAGCAGTAGTTCCAGCAGTCATGTGGAGTCTGGGGTAAAATGACCATCTTTGGGGAGGGAAGGTGGAGGGAGGGTACCGTTTAGTTGATAATGTAAAGGTGTATCCCAGGGTACAGGGCTAGAGAGTTGTGTGTCCACCTATCTTGATTTTTATTTATTTATTCATTCATTTATTCATTAACTTATTTTTATTTTTGTAAGATGGGCCACCTGAAGATACTTGACATTTTTTTTATTCCATGGATGCATTTGTGAACGTTTCTTATAGACAAACAGGTCCCCAAAATCAGTATCGTGTCAGATTTGAACCTTTAAATGTCTCCTTAAAAGTACTGAACCTATAATGAGTGTTCGCTGAGTATTTACACACGCAATTCATTTTTTTCTGAGTGTAGTGTTTGGCTGGTGCAGCATACAGTGATGATATTGCAGCATACAGTGAGGGTAGTGCAGCATACAGTGAGGCTGGTGCAGCATACAGTGAAGATGGTGAAGCATACAGTGAGGGTAGTGCAGCATACAGTGAAGATGGTGCAGCATACAGTAAGGATGGTGCAGCATACAGTGAGGCTGGTGCAGCATACAGTGAAGATGGTGCAGCATAAAGTGAGGGTGGTGCAGCATACAGTGAGGGTAGTGCAGCATACAATGAGGGTGGTGCAGCATACAGTGAGGGTGGTGCAGCATACAGTGAGGGTGGTGCAGCTTGGTGTGGCGGGGTAGTGGTGGGTTGCGACAGGTAACGTGACACGGTCTGACCCACCACTCCACCATCATCAGTTTCGCGTATCTGAATTGTTTATCGCCTGAAAATTTTCCTGTCATTTCTTTGGCCGCTTTTCGCGTATATCTTGTAATATTTTGCTTTTGTAACATACACAGTGCGATAATAACAACAGGAAAATATTTCTCAAATTCAGTTGTAGTTGTAAAGATGTGATTTAAAATGTCATTAAATACGTGTGAACAGAGTGTCAACCGTGGGTGGCAAGGAGAAGGCAGGTTGGGTCTTGGGCAGGACGAGCAACAGTCCGGCCTCAGGTGGTGCCATGGAGAGTGCCCAGCAGCTTACCAAAGTTACCGAGGTCACCATCTGTCCCAAGAGATTACCTGGGGTGCGAGCCGTGAGGTACTATGATGTCCCTGTACCCGGCCGTCCTACACAGCGGCCCACAGTACGTACACACCCGTGAGTACCAAACGCAAAATTTAGGTTCGCCTCCACCTGGTCTATAATGGAGTCTTGTTTCATCGTTGATGACTCGCGTTGCTGTTATTGAACTCTGCTTCTGCTTCTTTAATAGTGATGTACATGGTGTCTAGTACCCTACCTGATTAATTATATTCTTGAGGCTTGTGTGGTGTGGGTAGTAAGTCTGGTTGATCACTTGGTTGCTCAGGAAGCCTTGTTGTAGACTGATCTACGGTGGCATAGTCTGCCAGACCTGACGCGGTACAAGTGTGGTCACCTGCCAGGATTATACTGGCCGTATTTTACGTATGGAATACAATATATAGTTAGTCTGTTAACACCTCTCTCGTTAATAACGTCTGTAGGGGCTTAGTTAACACCATACCTGTTAATAACACCTACACAGTAAGGCTTAACCTAAAGTATTAATACTATATCTGTCTGAGTGGCGCCTCTCAGTGTTGCACCAGCGACCTCAGAATGACATTACTCAGCACTACTTGTAGATGATACAGTAGGAGAGTAACTGGTTGTGGCACTCCACCAGTGTTGTCTGTGGTACGGGAGTAGATAAAAGGTTCAGGGGCTGGAGGGCAGTGTGGGTACAGCACACTGTATACTACAGTAAGTCTCGATACACAAGGGGGCAGTGCGGCCTGAACTCCACTCTGCCGCCTTCACTTCCCAACGTAGGTCTGGCATCCATTTGTAACTGGGTAGACATGGGTGCCCTGGACTCGAACCAACAAATTTAAGGCAGGAAGCGACCACTGTATCCACTCAACCACCGGGTCCTATAACAGTATCTAGGTCGTCAGTGTTTACCCCGAGGTAGTTGGGACACTAACTTATTATTGTTAACAGTATCTTGACCTGCCGTGGGTGTTACAGACCGGCCCCTGAAGCTCCTCGTGTTCACATACTGATGCTTGTATCTTGCACACACTGAATAAGAAGGAATGTTGGTTAGTTCATTACCATACAGCGGTTTTTAATATTTCTGAGAATAAGGGAATTGTTGTGCTAAAAAATAATAGTTCCGAGATCATACGCCCCGATGTGGTGGCAGGGAGTAGGAGTGAGCACCAACTTACAGGGGGTCACATAAGAGAGTCCTACCTAGGTTACCGGTGTTATAATTTTTACCACTAAATTAATAAGCCACTGCCACTTAATATTTTAAATCCACCAGGTTTAAGAAGACTGCCTATAATGTTTCTAGGCTTACCTTAAAGAATACACTAACCTCGTAATGACATAATAATACCATCTTTGTCACTTCTCACTTCACACGGGAGGTGGGATACTCCCTCCTCTAAAACCCCATTACCTTGAGTGCGCTCGACCAACCGGTAATTCTTCCGGTGTCGTAGCTCACAGTTCTAAATGGTAGGAAAACCTTGGTCTTCGTGCATGATCAGGTGGCGGAAAAGAGTAAAGGATGCGTGGGAGGAGAAGGTGTATTGTCTGTGTCTGTGTCATAGGTGTAGACGCCTGCACACCATGGTTAGGCTATATACACCCCCCCCGACCTGTCGTTGTTGGTTAGTCTGTGGTGGTATACCGTACACTATAAGCTTAAATGTACCGTACGCTTAACTGGAACACACAGATAGCATTTATTTACACAGACTGAAACATAACAAGTATTCATTGATGCTGAAACATCCTCAAACATCAATTATTATTTCCTTGTGATTATAATCTTGAAACATCAATTATTATTTCCTTGTGATTATAATCTTGAAGGGAAGATATACCGTAGTTCCTGTCACCCATCACTGCTTCCTACAGATATGTGGATCTGAGCAGGTATTGTGTGGATCTGAGCAGGTATTGTGTGGATCTGAGCAGGTATTGTGTGGTTCTGAGGAAGTATTGTGCAGTCATGGGCAGGTATGATGTTGTGGGCTAGTATTGTGTGCTCATGGGCAGATATCCTCGTTCTGGGCAGGTATTGTGTGCTTATGAGCAGGTATCGTGGTCGTGGGCAGGTATTGTGTGCTCATGTGCAGATATCGTCGTTCTGGGCAGGTATTGTGTGCTTATGAGCAGGTATCGTGGTCGTGGGCAGGTATTGTGTGCTCATGGGCAGATATCGTCGTTCTGGGCAGGTATTGTGTGCTTATGAGCAGGTATCGTTGTCGTGAGCAGGTATTTGTGGTCGTGGTCATGTATCATGGTCGTGGGCAGGTATTGTGTGCTCATGGGCAGATATCGTCGTTGTGGGCAGGTATTGTGTGCTTATGAGCAGGTATCGTGGTCGTGGGCAGGTGTTTGTGGTCGTGAGCAGGTATCATGGTCGTGGGCAGGTATTGTGTGCTCATGGGCAGATATCGTCGTTCTGGGCAGGTATTGTGTGCTCATGGGTAGGTATCGTAGTCGGGGGCAGGTATTGTGTGGTGGTTTGGGAAGTAGCCAGTAGCTCAGTGTTGAGTTTCTAACCGTGTGTGGGATCTCACTCCTGGGTCGCCACATTGAAGCTCGTTGTTGTTTGTTCCCTCTTAACGTGACGCCATTATTCTGCCTGTCAGTTGAACTTATATTAGTGAGTGACAGACCATCACTCACTCACGCTGGTGTGTAGTGTAGTGTTAAGGGTTCATTGTTTGTTGACTGTGGACACCTTCACTGCTCGTGTCTGCATATGTGTGTGTGTTTGTCGACGGTGTCAGGTTCCCACGCTTTACTCTTACTCAGGTTTCATATTTCATAGTTGTCTTGGTTGTAATATATTCAGAATTTAATTGTCTTCATTTCTATCTACTTTGACTCAGTCCAAATCATAAGTATAGTGTCTTTAATATAAATATCACAAGCGTACAACGCTAGGTAATAAACACATCATTAATGTACATTACGTAACGTATACTCTCAGAATTATCGGATATGGTTACACTTCCGTCGACAAAGGTTTAATACAAGGGCGTCCTCGGAGTTAAGGCTCCGCCGAAGCTCCTTCCGTTACAGTAGACCTTGGGTTCCTCACAAGATATCAAAATTTAAAGCTGGGTGGACTGGGAGTGCCAGAGATCGAATGTGCGACCTTCATAATAAGAGGTGAACCTTGTATCCTCTTGGCCATCTCCACAGTTTTGACCCACTATGTTAAGTCGTAAATTATATATTGTATACCTTACCTTTGTGCTGCATCACAATATATACAAAAAAGAAGTTTCTCCCGTTATTTTCTGGTGATTACACCCTAGTTGGCATTTTATTTTTATTTTTTTACGGGGATTGGCCCACCTGGGCACAGGTCAACGACCCACATCGGGGCCTGGGGTGCGAAAAAAGAATAGAAATAAATTTGAAATTGAAAAGAAAAAGGTTATATTAATCTACACCACGAAGATGCAGAAAACCAGCTTTTTAAAGTGAGACATTGTATGAGTATGGAAACACAGAAGAAGGCAGAGCATTCCACAGTTTGGTTGTGTGAGGAAAGAAGGATGCACTATAACGGGTTATTCTAGTATACCAACATCCACAGAGAAATGGTGGGCACCGCGGGCAAGACTGTGTTACGAGCCCACGGCCTTGCCGGCGGTACACAGGATGCTAAATCCACCGAACATTGCCCGTAAAAGTACCCGTAAAAGAGAGAGAGTGAAGCATCATTGCGGCGAAGAGAAAAGCAAGAAAGATTGTCAACTAAAGATACCTTCTTGTTGTACTTATGCCTTTTAAAATTATTTTTTTTACTTTTTGAGAAATAACCAGGATGTCTTGTGATATCCCCCCCCCCCCCTTCTCTCTCTCTCTCCTCTCTCTCTCTCAATAACCAACTCTTGAATCCGACCAATTTCATGGCCTGCCAGTGAACACTAAGTGGTAGTGTCATGCTATATCATACATAGTTATATTCGTGCAACCATCACACACTATCTCTATAAACTATTAGTACAGTAAACATCTCCATTACTTTTCCCAAAATATTTCATACAATTTAACACCAGAGAATGTTGCTCGGAGACTCAGGATGTGAGGAGCAGGTGATTCACGAGTTCTGAAATTTGTGACTTGGATGGGTAGGTGAGGGGGTTGGGGTGGATGGGTGGTTGTGGTGTTTTAGTGTGTGGATCCTAACACCCACGTAGGCGCGTAAGCACACTTCGGCCTCGAGGTGACTACACAAGACGAAGTTTAAGTTCCAGCTCGCCCTTGCCTCAGCCATGCCTCCACGGCCTTTCCAGATTAACCATATCCATTACCTTGGTTCTCACCTGTCCACCACCACCACGGGCAGCAATGAGGATATCCAGCATCAGATCAGATGTGCTTCTCATGCCTTTGGCAGACTGTGTACCCTGTGTCTTTGGCTGTGAGGAGTTTAATCTATCAACAAAAGTGTTCGTCCATCCTGCAGTGGTCCTCAACACCTTGCTGTATGGCAGCGAGACATGGGTTACATACAGGCAACATCAGCAATCGTTTGCGGGTTTTCACCAACGCTGACTTTGATCTATCTTCCTAGTCAGTCGGCTGTGAGGACAGTTGCAAAATTGCTCGTATTCTCGTTGATACCAACTGTAGGGGCACAGATGCTGACATCATCAAGGCACTGCTATGAGGACCAACCATGTTACCTGCATGGGTGTAGCAGACTACCACAGCAGATATTCCTCAATCGTTTAAAAAATTATAAACTTACAGTAGTGTTGGCGAGTAACACACACACAAAAAACTACGAGGATACACTCACGACTAACCTTTAGGGGTAAATTAACTCTCACACCTGGGACCCAGAACCTGGCGCCTGGAGGGCTTCACGAGAGGGCGTAAAAACATTCCAGGTTGATAGACTACACACCAAGACAGACAATCACCGCCGCTCCTGTGTTGGCTTCTCGACCAACCTGGCAGCTCACAGAGCAAGATGACACTGATGATAGCTTGGCATCATTTGGTTATCATTGGATGTTCTTCATACACGATATCCGAGTGGCAGCAAAGGGTGAGTTTGGTGAGTTGTATTGAATATCTAATATAATAAT